CCTTATAAGCCATTTGAGGCCACTGGGCAAACCAATGCGCTTCTCTCTGCCCCTCACACCCTCTTAATTTTCAAACGCATAGATAAGTTAAGATAGGTATTTTCAACATGAATTTGAAGAGCTGACTTGGCTTTCACGGTACATTATGTTGGACAACCTCAAAAAGGAACAAATGTTATTTGTCAGCCTTTGATAAAATCATGTACCAAAGGGCACCTGGGTGGCTCAGTGGGTTAAAGCCTCTGCCTTCGGCTCAGGTCATGATCCCAGGGTCCTGGGATGGAGCCCCACATCAGGCTCTCTGCTCAGCAGGGATCCTGCTTCCCTTTCTCTCTCTCTGCCTGCCTTTCTGCCTATTTGTGATCTCTGTCAAATAAATAAATAAAATCTTAAAAAAAATCACGTCTTGTTTGTTAACATAGATACATAAGCAGCTCAGCTCAAACACTCAGCAGGGACCACGGAAAATCAACATTGAAGGACAGCTTTTCTCACTTTCTGATATGCTCTACCACTGTCTCTTCAATCCTTACCTTCAGTTAGAGCATCTGACCCAAAGCATGACTACCAGATGAAAGTGGGCTGGAGTTCTACCCAAATATAGCTACAAAGAGTGTGTGAATGTGAATATTTGGAATTAGGGCTTTGCTACCAAATTGACATACCAAACTTCTCTGGCAGCTGATTAAATAACTGTGTCGCAACTCTGTCACACGGCTTGAAAAGAAGGTTGCAAAATACAGGCCAATACACATTCCAAGCTCAGCACTGAATTTTCCCTTGTTTTATGAGTTTGAGTCAGTTATGCTTAAAAATAGCCAACTAAATTTTTTTTTCTTAAATCCAGGCCAACTTACCAAAGACACTCTTTCCTAAGCTCAAGAATGTGCATGCAACAGAATTGTCTACAATAAGGTTGGCTTGTTTGGATTTCTTGTCAGTGTCATGTTTAAATAGCACAGCTTCAAAGGTACAAATAGGAGAAAATTCCTTGTCTCAGTAGTTGGAGGACTTTGTTCTCTTGATGAACAAAGAAACCCAGGCCTTCCTCTTTTAGAACTAGCTTTGTACAACAAAGATAATGCAAGTAACAGGATCAAAGGGGAGGGGAAGAAGGTACAGGGGATGCTCTTTCTGAGGTCTCGGGTACCATCTCTGTTAACAGGCTATAGATGTAGTTAACACCTATAGGGACAGTAAGAGATGGTGATGTAGGGATGATATACCACAGACTGTGGGCACTCACAGAACAGCCTTAAGTTCCAGGGAGAAGGCAGCAAGGGATAAGGTTGCTTTGTACTTCCTAGCAGTTTGCTAAAACCACCTCCTACACACTTGCTCCCAGCAGTCCCACGAGATAGAAGCAGGTCTGAACTCCCTGATGCTGAATGCATGTCTCACTGTACACTACAGTGTGGGAGAGGGGTGTGCTTATATGTGGACACAAATGGGAAAGTGGGGTATGTAGCGGTTAGTGGAGAGTTGGAAAGCATCTCCCTGGAACTCAACCATATTGTAAAGTTGCCTCCTTAACTTCAGAGAAGCTGTCAGAGTGACCCCAATTCTCTCAGAACATGGCAGCAGTAACCAAGTCAGTCCTGTTTCCCCTCCTCAGTTTCTTACTGGGGTTCCATAGATGGAGTGCCTGGATTGAATTCTTCTCTAAAACCAGTGCCCTAGAAGTTCATAGGTGAGATTAATATCCCTGTTGCCAGGATGACTTTAGTTCCTAACAAGAGATCTAAGGATGCGGCTGGTGTTTTGATCAGCCTAGACCTCCTTTGGCTAGCCTCTCCTTTGTTATTCAGGCCACCAGATATTGTGGATATATATGCAGCACCCCAGTATGTAAGCATGTAGGCATGTATGTATGTATGCATGCATGCATATATGTATTTATTGTTTCATTCCATGCAAAAATGTCTTGGGATTTTACTGTTTTCTTAGGGAAATCCAACATGCTCTCAGGTGTCCAATAAAAATAAACTGCAACCATGAGCCTTTTTGTTTATTTGTTTTGACACTTCACTAAGAGTACCTGTTAGAGTTAGCTGTTCGTCCGGGTCAATGAACCAACTGAAAGTGCTAAGAGAGTAAAAACCGAATTTCATTTTGTCTGCACCTAACAGCCACCTCCTTACATGGTTTGTTAAATACACAAGGGATCAGGGTGCCTGGGTGGCTCAGTTGGTTCAGCGTCTGCCTTCAGCTCGGGTTGTGATCCCAGAGTTCTGGGATCGAGGCCTGCATTGGGCTCCTTCCTCAGTGGGGAGCCTGCTTCTCCCTCTGTCATTCTGCCTCCCTTTCTCTCTCTGTCTCTCATGAAGAAATATAGAAAATATTTAAAAATAAGTAAATAAATAAATACACAGGGATCCATGTTCTGTATTTCTGTTGCATTCTCACACCTCTTGTATATGCCTTCTCATCTTGGTTTGGACACCAGTCAGCTGGCACCTATCGTTCCCAGAGGATTTGTGGCACACCACACAGGAAGCTTTGTGGAGTAGATAACTGTATACAAATCCACAAACTGGTGGATTGTCCGTGTGTGTGTGTGTATATGTGTGTGTGTGTGTGTGTGTGTGTGTGTGTGTGTGTGTGTGTGTGTGTAACTGTGGTCATCTCGATGCTCTAACTGAGGGTGTGTATGTGCCTACACTTGCAGGTGTGCTCATGACCCTGCACCCGCCCACTATTCATCTTGGTCCTGTTTTCTTCCTGTCCTCTTCCCATTTGTCTTCTCTGCTTTTGTTGGTTTCGAGAACCTGTGCTAATGAAAGAGAGTTTTCTAACACTGCACCACTGTGGAATTAGAGTTGCTTGGTCATTAGAGGCAAAGGCCATATACTAAAGATGGAAATGCTCTAGAGAGCATGTGGACATCCACTGAATGGCGGAAGCTTTAAGGTCTGCTGAAACCTAGACGGTTCAGGATTCTATACCGCTGGCCTCACAAAGTTGGCCGCAGCCTTGGGTCAGGCTGCATATGCATATTTTAGACAATTCAAATATCTAAAGCAATGTTTCGAGGGAGTTTTAGAAAATACAGAAGCCTTGGTTCAAAAATTCAGTGTCAGTTGGTAAGGTGGGGGCTCAATTCTAGAAACATCCTAGGAATTCAATTCTAGAAACATCCTAGAACATCAGTGTGCAGTTAGGACTGAAAACCACTGATCTAGATATTGAGTTCTTGATTCTTTTCATGATAAAGGAAGTTACAATTCTGAAGCCTGTTTCTTAAAGTCACACAGGGTAGTGACTATCCATGATACTTCTGAAGTGAGCACGTTCACTGCATACCATGCTTCATCAGAGGGACAATATTAACCATTTGGGTGGGACAATTATTTGAGATTTTGATTCCTTTCCTCTTACTGCCATTAGAGCTTCCCAGTTACTGTGACCACCTACAACACCTCCATAAACCACCCAATGTTCCAGGGGTAGCTGAGAATCATCACTTAGGTGGGTGGGTATGGCTTCAAAGGCAATAAACATTTCCGATAAATTTCAGCCATCAAACACTGACTTTCAGTTCTGTTACTAAAATGGTCCCCCTGAGATGGCAGTCTGGAGGCTTAATCAAGGCTCTAACAGACAGACTTTGATTTTTAAAGTAGTTGCCTTCCCTGAGATAATTTTTTTTAAAGAAACAGTGGAATAATTATTAAATACGGCACTTAGATTATTTTATTTCTTTTTGCCATAAAGTTCTATCTAGCCTTTTGAATCTCTAAGACAAAAAGCCAAGTAGATAGTGACAGATTCCAACTGTTGGCTAACTACTCCTCCTCACTCTTGGTCTCTCTTCCCTCCAAAACAAAACAAAAGCCAAAAAGAAAAATGTAAAGAACAACACGGAGAACAAGAGCAGTTTTTTTAAATGGAATTCTCAACTATCGTGAAGTGTATTTTTTTTTTTCTTTTTTAAAAAAATTACTGCTCAAAGGGAAATGGAGGTACTGGGGGATGAGGGTTCAAGAGATTGTTACCAGAACCAACTTTCATAGTAGAGCAAAGATTTTCCACATATTATTCTTGATGCTGAGGTGCAAGATACCTCACTTTATTTATTTATTTATTTATTTATTTTAAGATACCTCACTTTAACCACAGATTTTCATATCCACCAGCCAAGCTGCAAAGCATTTCTGAGTGCTTGACTTCCCTGAGTGCTGATATTTCTGAATCCTGATGGCAGTGGTACATTCCAGTTTTCCACTGGGTACACTGTCAGCAAGATGGACAGAACAGGACATTTTGGATACATGGAACCTATCCAGGCCGCTTTAGGGATGAAGAGAAAGGGAGACGCTCGGGTTCACCAAAGCAAGTTTATACCTAGAGAACAACTCCCACTGGAACGATGTTACCGGCCTTGGATTTCAACTTGATGAAATTCTAGAAAATGACTATTTTTTCCCTACTGTACCATCTGCTCTGGAAGCAGTTCTATGTGATAACCTATTAGAGAGGCCAGAACTCCAGGCAACAAATTTGATCAGCAACAAATGCCCAAGTATAATAGGTAAATGCAGAAATGGCTGTTTTGCTTGGAGCTGGTCAAATGCAGTAGGAGGGATATAATCACTTTCTCAATGAACTAATGCGTAATTCACTCTCATGCTTCCAAACACATCTTTCTAAACAGAATGCCATCAGCAAGCATCACGACAAATTGCTTACTTTCCATGATGGTCACATTTCATTCATTCACCATAATTTTTGCTAACGTTTACTGGATAGCAAAACTATCTTGTTGGTCTAATGCAACCAAGCAAAGATACTTTATAAATCCATCTATATTTTGAGATGTGACCATTTTGTTAATGTCCAGCTTTTCAATTACCATAATAATCAACTACTGAGAAGTAATTGAAAGATTTTGTCATTTTTTACAGTCATAATTAGTTAGCAAGAAGAGTACAGACTAAGATGTAAAAGAAAGAAGCAAAAACTGAAATGATTTACATAAAAAGTCATAATTAGTTCCTTACCTGAAATATTTTAATGCTTGGGCTTCTTTTTGAATTTGGTAGTGGTAAGATGGGTCTTTTTAAAGAAATAGGCAGTCTTCAGTGTTTTTATAGCATTGATTACTACAGAAATTATACTTCTTTTACTTCTTGTCTTGAAGGGTGAACAAAATAAATAAACTGAAAATACTACAATGAATGGTAAATGATGAAAGATTTACAGTACAAAAAACAGCGTAAAAAGGAAGACAAGTTTAAATATCGTTGTGTAAGAAAGTGATGAAAATAATACAAGAATGAGAATAAGTAAAATGATAGGCTGGAACATCTGGGAAGGTAAATGCAGAGACAAAGAGAAGAGTTAATTAATAATAATTTTTAAAACTTAAATTCATATTAACTAATCTAAGCATTCATTCAATTTAAGATGAAGAAGAACCCTCCCTTAAGCCTGCATTTACAAAATCTGAAACCTGTTAATGCATACAGTTCTTTCTCTCACTCTGATTTCTACTTTTTTCCCTGATGGTATAATTGAAAACCCACATGCTTCAAGTATTCAAAAATCTGCTACAAGGAAACTGAAAGCCAACCATTTGACATTATTAGAGAAACAATAAGCCTTAATATTTCAAAATTCAACAAGTTTTATCACAAAATTTTTTTTTTCCATAACAAAGCAGAGCAACATGCAAGGTAAATAAGCAATAGGGTTGCGATTTTTCTAGTTGTGACTAACAGGCAGTTAATTTAATATCATGCTTCTGCGTATACAGTGATCTTTAAATTTAAATCTCTTGCGTGTCTTAAAAGCCATGCACGCTGTTGTACTTCCGTGTGTTCTCCAATGGATACAGGACAGGAGGCTTGCCAGAGAGGTAGTGCTGCCTGCTGTGTTTTACAAATTCTCTCTTATGTGGTTAATTCTGACAAAATGCATGGGTCTTTGGCCACCATACCTGGCTAGAGCAGCTCAGTCCAATTCATCAGTTGTGCCTCTACAAATTAGGATGAAGGAAAAATGGTTTTCCCTGTTCGGGAATAGTTATTACTATTTCTCTGAATCAGTGTTGGATTAAAGTTAAAGTAGAACACTCCTTCCCCAGTTTTGACATAGAGAGATGGCAGTGATTTTTTTTTCCCCCTAGAAATAACGATCCTATTACTTCCACTTGTAAAGGAGTGACTTCTATTTGTTCCTTTTGGTAGGGATCTAGACACAGTATCCTCTCTTCACTGTTGGCTTGTACATTTGCCAGTAGTTACACAATAACCCTGGATTCTAAGTAATTAAACCACTTTTGAAAACTCAATTTCAATCTTAGTTCAAAACCTGCAAATACACAATTAAAGATTCCCATCTGGGATCTTCTTACAGCCTGATCCATTAGAATCGGTAGAGTAATACTGAACATATCGACACATAATGATATATATTTAAGATCCTTTAATCTTTACACAAAAACTGATGGTGGGGGTGTGTGTAAATTTCCTTTTTAACCAAAACAGAGGGGAGGGAGTTACCAAGCGGGTTCCGAAAACCCGAGGCCTGAAGAAGGACAGTGTGAGAGAACACGTGTGCTGTGGGGCTACGAAGCCCAGTGAGGCTCTGCGCGGGAACCCTGAAGCGGGGCATGGAGGTCGGTGCGCGGAGACGCCCCAGCGGGGAGCACGAATCCGCGAACCAGCCTGGCCATCGCCGTGGCTCGCAATAGGCAGAACTGTACCTGACTCACGGATATGGGCTCCTCCGCGCCGCGGTCGTCCGCAGACTTGGGCACCTCGAGGCGGTCGATGAAGGTCTGCAGCTCCTTGCGGAAAGCTTTCATCTGCGCGTTGATGCGGTAGAGCAGCTCGTGTTCGCGGATGCGGCTGCCGTCGTCCTCCTCATCCATCAGTCCGAACAGGTCCCCGTTGGCCACGTAGATGCGCGCCTCCGTGATGATGGTGCTAGTGTCGGCGATGAGCCGGTCGATGGTCTTCCCCAGGCGCTCGGCCTCTGAGCGGATGTCCTTCATCTGCTGCCGGTCAGAGAAGCTCTTGGGCCAGGGCCCGGGCGAGGGGTAGAAGGAGCGGGTGGGCGTCAGGCAGCGGATGTTCCGCACCTCCTCCGAGTCGCTCTCGCCGCCGATGGGGCCCTCGCGCTTGCGGTGAGGCGGCCGCGAGTCGTCGTCGCTCTCCTTCTTGCCCGCGTCGCTCTCCGCGTCGCTGTCGCGCGGGCTGCCGCGGATGCCCAGGTGCGAGGCCAGGTCGTAGCGCTGCATGTTGGACATAAGCACGCGGTTCTCGTACTGCAGCTGCATGACCTTGCCGCTGAGCTCGTTAATCTGCAGGCGCGCTGCCTTCAGCTCCTCTTGCAGGGCCTCGGTCTTGGCGCTGTCGTGATGTCGCGCGCTCTCGTGGCCGCCTGACTTGTACTTGTACTTGTTGAGCTCGGCCGTGATGCGCTTGTTCTGCTCCTCCAGGTCCGCCACGTTCCGCCGCAGCAGCTCCGTCTCGTCCTCCACCAGCTGCAGGTGCTGCCGCAGTTCCGACAGGGATTCGCTCTGCTCCCTCATGAGCGGGTTGGCCGAGCCGTTGAAGTCATCCCCCCTCAGGTCGTCGAGTTCTGCCTTCAGGCCTCTGTTCTCCACCTCCAGTTCCACGATCTTCCTGCCCAGGATGTTGGCTTCTTCCTCCACGAGCCTCAGCCGCAGCTTGAGCTCAGCCTCCCTGGTGCTGGGAGGCCCCCCGGCTTCTCCTTTGGGCAAAGGACTGTCCAGATCCCCGTAAAAGGATCTGTACTTCTGAAGCTCGTGTTCGAATCGGTCCTTCTCTTTGTCGATCTTGGCCATCTTCTTCCTCATCAGAGCGGCTTCTTCCTTCGCGAACTGCAGCTGGCATTTCAGATCCTCACTGTCCTCCTCGTTTGGGAAAAAGAGGGGCAGAGGAGAGGAGGTCACTTTTATGTAAGTCGAAAACACACAAAAAAAGCACACCTGCAAAAGTAGTTGCCTTTTCCTTGTAATTAAGATTCAATGAGACCCAGATAAGTAGACGCTGTATGTTTTCTACAAATCATTTAAATTATTTGGTGGATAAAAGATGAGGACAATATCACATCCTGGAAACAATAAAGAAAAAGAAATATAAAAAGAGAAACACTATGGTCATCACTATTCAGAGACCATCATGTCTTGTAACTGAGCACAACTGTGGGGCTGTCATCTCAACAACGTTCCTTTTGCATGTTTTGTTTCTTACGTGATTTGAATTCCCCTGACTATAATAAATGTGAAACCTATTCCCTGGACGGAACACATGACGTGTACTCACTGCCCCTTATCGAGCACGGACTCTCAGACAATTTCTGGAAAGTTCTTTATCCATCTGACCTAATTTAATGTTTAGAGTGAACTTAGTAATAGATACTAAAATGCCTGGTTTAAAGATACTCCATAACTTTTTCAAGGTTACAGAGCTAGTACGTGGCAAAAAACAAAGGTGAAATTTGAATTCCGTTCTGTCTGACTCGAAGGCTCATGGTCATTCTGAAGGAGCAAAGAAAGTCTTCTCTCCTCCATCTTTATTCAAGGCAAAATTGTTTACTTAAAGACCTTACTTAAAGTAAGGAAAATTTAACACTGGAATGGCTCCTCCAAGGAGAAACTGGCAAGTGTTTCATCCAGATCATTTTAAAAATAAGGGGGCATCTGGGTGCCTCAGTGGGGTAAGCCTCTGCCTTCAGCTCAGGTCATGATCTCAAGGTCCTGGGATCGAGTCCCAAATCGGGCTCTCTGCTCAGCAGGGAGCCTGTCCCCCCCCCCCCCGCCTCTCTGCCTATTTGTAATCTCTGTCTGTCAAATAAATAAATAAATATTCTTAAAAAATTTAAAAAAAAAGATATATTCCCCATCAGTCTAAAACGAATAAAGTTGGTTCTGCCCGGTAAATGGATGATGGAGTAGATCTTATGGAAGCTCTTCTCACAATTCTTAGGCAACCTGCAAACACTAATTGCTGACTAAGTTGAAAAGTACAAACAAACTAAAATTGGAAATCAACTTGCTGAGAGTTAATATCAAAGTACATTATTATGCCCAAGGACACATTTCCTGAGGGCAATTTCCCCACATTTGCTTTTAAGTATGTATTTTGGGTCAACTGCGTAACTTCTGTGGATTTTGTTTTCCTCATTTTTTAATATGTTTTTATAAAAGATTTTATTTATTTATTTGAGAGAGGCAGAGAGAGAGAGCATGAGTGGAGGGTGGGAAAGGGGAGAAAGAGAGGGAGAGGGAGGCTCTCCGTTGAGCAAGGAGTCCTATGAGGGCTTGATCCCAGCACCCTGAGATCATGACGTGAGCCGAAGGCAAATGCTTAACAGACTGAGCCACCCAGGTGCCCCTTCTCATTTTTTAAATGGAAATAAAAATGCCTTCCTTGCCCAGCAATGAGTCAGCTGTGTTTGAAATGAATTGTGGTAAAGTAGCAGCAACCACTGGTAGTGAAGGTGGGAATAATAAGCTTCTGCCAGAGATGCTCATTAAATATAGCCCAGAGCCTTCGAGATGGAAGAGATGTAGAACAAGGAGGGCACAGGTCTCCTGTCCTCCTTTCTGTTAATGAGAATTAATATGGAAGGGTTGAGAGCTGATGAGTCCACAGAGCCTGACCATCACATTCTTTATATCATTATGCCCTGACATTAGCCCTACGAGGAAGGTGATCTAGTTCTACTTTATAGATAAGGCAGATGAGCTTCAGAAAGGTTGGTTAACCTGGTAGAGCACCAGTTAATAAGTGACAGAGCACATCTGTAACCAGACTGATTCCCAAACTCTTATTCTTTCCACTGTTAGTGTTGCCTCTAGAAAAGCAGCACAAGAGAAGGAAAGTAGGACAATGGGGTAAAAGAAAAGAAATCGGATGTGTTGGTTTGTATACTTTCCTCTAGAAGGGGTTTAGAAGAAAGGACAGAAGCACAGAGAGAAGAGATGAGAGAATTCCCAGGAGCACAGTGAGAGAGAAGGATGAGTGTAAATCACAGAAAGATTTGACGTGAAACTCTATTTCACAAGGCAAAAGAGAAGCTGTTCTACAAGAGACTATATGTTGGACCCTCAAACCTGTTCGGTGAGTATGAAACTAAGGACACAGAACAATATTTACTATTGAATCAGCAGAAGACTCAAAGATAACCCTGCTGTTTCCAGCTTAGGCATCTTGCTGGTTGGTGCTGCTAATGACAGGAAAAGAGAATGAACAAAGAGGAGGACGTGTGAAGAAGATGGGTCTAAGCATATTAAAATGCTGTCTTCGAGGTGTGTCAGTGGAGGGGTATCTAGCGGAAACATCTATCAAAGGCAAGTGAACTCAGGCCCAAGATTACAAAGATTACACCTCTGGCCCTGCAGAGAGTTCAGGTGCAAAGGGAAGGAACATGAGAATGAGATGTATAGAGGTGATGGTTGAAGCTATGGCAGTGGTTCTGAAAGGACCCGAAGAGAAGAAAAGAAAGAGAGACACATAAGACATGGTTAAAGGTGTGGCAGGCAGGCAAGAGAGTCCAATATCATGTAGGAATTAGAAACAATGCTTGAGTAGAAAGGTGACCAGCAATGAGCAAGTCCAATATGCCTTTACATAAGCTACGCTTTGTTAGAAAGTCAGAGTAGGGGAGACTGGGAAGTTAGGTTGAGTGTGGTAGTACTCCCTGATTGCAAGTCTAGGCCTTTATTTGCTAGTTAAAAAAAAAAAAAGTGTTAGTAAAATACTGCAGTTTGAATCCAACCAAAATAGCACTGGATGTGGTCTAAGTCACAGACTGGAGCAGAATAACACTTCACTCGGCTACATTAAGCAAGCATAACGTTTCATGTTTTAGCAAGGGAAGGCTACCTGATTTGCATATATGTAAACTCCCCTGCCTTAAAGGAATGAAAACATAAACCTTATTTTAAGACTTGGACATATACTACATGTAAGAAAGTCCCTATGAGGGATGGAGAAAATGATGGACAACATAGTAATTATTTTGTATTTGCTTAAAAAGAAATCTTTTCAGGGTGCCTGGTAGCTCAGTCATTATGCATCTGCCTTCAGCCCTGGTCATGATCCCAGGGTCCTGGGATCGAGCCCCACGTTGGGCTCCCTGATCGGCGGGAAGCCTGCTTCTCCCTCTCCTACTCTTCCTGCTTGTGTTCCCTCTCTCATTGTGTTTCTCTCTGTCAAATAAATAAATCTTAAAAATAAAATAAAATAAAATCTTTTCAGTATACAAAGTGTGATAGTTTCTACAATGCCAAGAACTTAAGAACCTGTAAGCCAGTGTGCCCTGCATGCTCAGCCTGTAACCTAAGTATTGTAGCTGCATTTGCAACTGAGCATGGAAATACTGTGTATAAATGCTGAAAACGTTAAATCCGAGATGGTATGGGAAGTGCCTGGCTGACAGTGTCTAGGCAGTACCTGCTTGCTCCTATTGTCCACAGTTAATGCTAGGCAAGAAACATTACAGTGCTTTGACATGTGAAGCAAGTGGTATCTTATTTTTGTGTATATTAAAGACTCACTCTTAAGAAGATATGAATGACATGTGAAGAAGGGGAGCATTAGGACGATGAAGGGCCAGCTGGGCTGAGTCGACCCCAGCTTTGACTGAGCCACTACTAGATGCTAAATAACATTCCTAATGAATTACATGGATTAAACTCATTTAATTCGTACCACTCTCTATTATGATCCCCTTTTACAGATGAGGAAACAAAGGCATAGAAAGAATAAGTAAGTCATCTAAGGCCATACAGCTGGCATGTCACTGCCCTTAACTGTGTGTGATACCATTTCTCAGCAAATAAAGTCACTGTGGTGCTGAAGGAACGTGTAAATCATACATCAAAGAAGGTGAAGCAAATAAAAATGAAGTACGAAGCCGTACAAATAATAGTAGGTTGAACCATATGGAATTGTCATTTGCATAGGTCAAAATCACAGCATGTTGGCAATTTCTTTTGGCTCAATCTAGATAAAGGAGACACGAGAGTATTCAAAAGCACATACTGAACATGTTGTAGTATCAGACACTAGACACTGACAAGTCAAAGCTGCATAACATGACCCATGATGACAATCCACCCTGGCGATGGGATGGTATGGGAGATGAATATATAAACAGTAGAATAGGAGGCTGGCAGTAATCTAAGAATCGATGGTCCTCAACCTTGACTGAGTAATAGAATCATCTGCGGACTACTTTATAATTGAGATCTCCCATCCAAGACAGTCCTGCTCAATCCACTGGGGTGGTTTTTGAAAAACTACAGGTAATAATCTCTGAAAATAAATGAACTGGAAACACTAGCAGGGACATTAATGGCTACAACAGCGCACTTAAAATTTCCCAGGTGTTTGGGCCAGGAAATAAAAATAGGTGGACCGCAATGTTTCTTGATTGTTGTAAGGTCCCAGGTCCCACTGGGAAACCCATGAAAGGTGTGGATGTCTTTTACAGAAAGGTGCCCACATGCGCGTAGAGTGGGAGGGTCACAGAGCTACAAACAAACTCTTAGATGTTCCTGGATAACAGAGTATTGTTGCAGAAATAAGTAAACTTTAACATGGGAAGTATAAGAATAGGCCAAATGTGAGTTTTAAAAGAAATAAACTGCTTATTAAAGCTGACTTAGGATTTTAGAACAGGGAGAATATAGCCCCTTCTCCATCAATGGGGTGGAGAAGAGAATTGACGGCAACATGTGAAATGACCCATAGCAAAATATGTAGAGAAGGTGGCTACGGTCATGGCAAAGGCAGAGTGAGAAAGCTACAGTGACAGAGCATCTTTGAACCTAGTAACACAACAACAAGAAAGATACAAAATGGAGTAAGGCTCTGGCTCTGAGACTCTTTGGGACTTTTGAACTGCTGACCCTTCTTGATATCCTTGTGCCAGGACCAGGAAAAAAAGTTAACCAAGAACAGAGCAGAGAGAGAGAAGAAAAGGGAAAATAAACATTCAAGATGCTGTGTTTTATGAGATGCCTGGGTGGCTCAGTCGGTTGAGTCATCTGACTCTCGGTTTCAGCTCTTAGCACGATCTTCTGGGTTGTGGGATGGAGCCCTGCACTCAGCTCTGTGTTCAGCTGGGAGGCTAGTTAAGATTCTCTCCCTCTGCCCTTCTCCCCACTTGTATGCTCTCTCTCTAAAATGAATAAATAAATAAATCTTTAAAAAAAATTTAATAAGTTGTGTTTTTAAAAAAATTGAGATCAACTTTTCCAAATTTTGGATATTTCAATATCGCTTTAGTTAAAATTATTATTTAATGAGAAAACAAATTGTAAGAATAAAAAAAAGTATGTTATAGTATGCAATTCCAACTGATGCATGCAAAAGTCAATAACTAGCCAATTTTTATGAAGAGCCATGACGTCATTTCTGCCCCCAAATATTTCCTCTTCTGTTTTAAAATCTCCTCCATTACATCTATCAGCACCTCTAGGCATCTCTTAGTACATCCCTTAAGTTTTATTTTTATTCATTTCCTTTCTTTTGCTTCCCCAATCACTGGCATAGAGAATTACTTCTTCTACGGCCTTCTCATCACAAGCATCTCCCACCCCTCACCATCCCTTTCTACAACATTCCTTTCTCTACTCACTTCTGATGCTATAGGAACAGCCATTCTCTTGACCTTATTAATTATGAATGAAGATGATTAGCACTGTGCATACAGTTGTCAAACATAGTAATACATAAGGTACTAATAACATTTTAAGCAATAATAGGTTTGTTAGTGTTAGCTTTATAAGCAAAGACACTGAGTGCTTTATTCTACCTCTATCTACAGCTACAGAATGGAGAGGCATAATTAAAAAAAATTTTTTTTACATGAGTGTATCTGGCTACTATGTCCACTTATAGATGTAGCTTATTCTTATATACATTTAGAAGTGTTTGATACACTAGTTGAAATTTTATTTCCACATACCTCTGTGGGAGTCTGTTGAGTCTTTTTTTCAGATTTTGGCAGATCTTTGCTTCCTCTTCTTTTTAAGGATAGCTGAAACAAAGCACGAACATATTTAGTTTGGTAAACTATTATTTTAACTCCATTTTATGGTCTCAAAAGTGTCTACTGTCATATGATAAAACCAAACCAAAGAAATTGTGTTAGTTCAATCATCAATCAGAAGAAAAAAAAATACAAACCAGATAGAATTTCATGTATTTTTACCTAGGACTGGGATACACTTTTCAGTAGATGAGTAAGTGGCAACCATCTAAATAATTTAAGGAAACCCACTGTGAAACTGCAGAAAACAACTTGGATAAAATTTAGACCGATGACCCAATATACCACCTATTCCAAACAAACGCAAATCCTTGTTAGCATTCCTCTCACCAAAGAACAAAAAGGAATAGGGTATTTCCAGTTGAAGGCAGGTTTTCATAAGCTTGTAAAGACAAACTTTCAGAGGATTTATGGAGAATTTGAAGAATTTTGCTCTTTCCTCACCACGCATCTCTGCAGACAAATACAATGCCCATACACATGTATATAATGTAATACAGTAGGGAATCGTTACAGTGAACTGGAGAGGACAGGCTCTATCTAAGGAATGGGCTGAGAGGGAATTAGCTGCAGCTTATTGGTGTCATACAGAAATGTGGGCTTTTTCTAGAGAAGCTAGAAATCTGGATTGTTATGTACTGGTTGGCTAGATTGAAATTCAGACAAACAACACTTTTTTTTTTTAAGATTTATTTTTATTTTATTTATTTATTTGACAGAGAGAGAATGAGGAGAGAGAGCATGAGAAGGAAGAAGTCAGAGGGAGAAGCAGACATCCCGCTGAGCGGGGAGCCCGATGTGAGACTCGATTCCAGGACTCCAGGATCATGACCCAAGCCGAAGGCAGTTGCTTAACCAACTAAGCCACCCAGGTGCCCTGACAAACAATACTTTGTAAGCAAAAAAATACAGAGGGTCTGTCTGTATGAATACCTACCACATACCTCATATTGAACATAATATCCAAATATCAATTAAACTGTGCGCACATCATCAAGAAGCTCATAATATACCGTGGGAGACAGAGAAGCAAACAATTATTGTACAAGCTGGGAAATGCCAGGCTTTAGGTTCTGTGTAATAGTGCTTTGTCTTACTGTGGTAGTACCACCATCAGAGTAGTACTTGGCACAGGGCAGCTATTGGAAAAAATATTTACTGAACTAACGAAACATATTCATGATGACTATATTCAGAAAATATGAGGTTCTGGGGTCAAAGAGGAAGGTGGGGGTGTAGACTGAATGTAAAAGCAGGAACGGAGGCTTCATGGATCTGCAAAGAACTCCACGCTGCATTTTTCTCGTGTTAATTTCTAACCCATATCCCGTGTTAAATGCAGGCATATGGTCAGGTCCAGAAGGCAGGGGAATATATTGCTGCAACTGCTTTCACTCGGTATGAAACTCAGACTAGAGCCAAATGAATGGCCTGTGGGCTTATTTATTTTTACTTCTCTACAGAAGTAAAGATGTTCTCTATGTTGCTTGTATAATCTTAGAAACAAAGGCTGTGAGGACTGCTTCGCCATAACCAAAAGTGGTTTGGGAACCAATCAACAAAAGCAGTCCCAAGAAAACCCCCCAAAATAGCAAGCTGAACTAGGGAATCCTGGAACAGTCTGTTTAGAAGCTGCCTACAAAGAAGCGCCCAAATTCGTTTTATTAAATATTTACTGAATGCTTTTATTTTCAGTGTATTTTATTATATGTTAATTTACTGCTAACTAATGTACTTTATATGGCACCTGTGATACAGTAATGATAAAACCAGCAGAGTCACTGCTCATTATGAGTTTCCTAATTTATTGGCAAAGGGTCTATTCAGTCAGCAATTTAAAACAGTGTGATGAAAGCAATGATAATGTAAAAACAATAGTAACTGGCAATGATTGAACACTAATTAATCTCTAACACTTTACATATATTATCTCAATTAATTCTTAAAATATTTTATTTATTCATTTGAGAGAGAGAGAGAGAGCATGAGCAGAGAGGAGAGGCAGAGGGAGAGGGAGAAGCAGACTCCCTGCTGAGCTGGAAGCCCAAAAGGGAGACATGTAGTCATCCGAGTCACACCCAGGCACCCTTAAAACACCACTTAGATTTAACAAGCTCTTCAGGTGATTCTGATGTATGATAAAGTTTGAGAAGGGCTGGTCTAAAATTACAGTTCAGTAAGTAGCAGGATCAGGTTTTGACCCAAGTATTTTTTATCTTTATATACTAGGTCATAAAGGAGAAAGGCTTAAGCCGGTCTGGAACTGGAGATGGTGTGGGGAGCTAGGGAAAATTTCCAGAAAGAAGTAACATCTTATCTTGAATCTGGTAGACGAAGAGTCAGCCAGCTGAAGACAGAGAAGAGGGGAAAGGGAAAAACAAAGCATTCCATGTAGAAAAACCATTTCTGGGACACATTTCAGCAGGTCTGTAACAAAATGTGAGGAGAGCAAATGATGCTGATGGCATGAATCAGATCTCAAAGGATACTGAATAAGGTTGTTGCAAGCAAAAAGTATCCATAATCAGATTGTCATAGAAGAAATACATAGACGCAAAAGTAGAAGTCCAAATGGCCACAAGGTAAAGGGACATCATGCAAGGGAAATGAGGGAAAGTAGGCTCTAAGATTCTGAGAGCTTTTTTGAGTGGGCCTTTATTTTTCATTCATTCCATAAATATTTGTTGAGTTCTGCCATATATACTATACTATCCTCCCCACCAAAGAGCTAACTGTTTACAGTGGGTAAGAGGATGTAGATAATTAGCTAAAACTGTAGACAGAATTAATGAAGAGCAATGGATGAAGAACAAACAAAAGATTCAGAGGACAAAGAGGCAACTATAATTCCAGATCCTGAGAGATGAGAGGAAATCATCTGAGGTGGCTGATCTTTGAAGGCTGTACAAAATTTTGACAAAAGTAAAACCAAAAAAAAGAAAAAGCAAGGACTCAGGGGAATAGGTGTGCCCTTACAGACTCACTGACTTCAGACAAGAAGTAATGGGGTCAATAAGATCGATAAACCATTGGCCACACTAATCCAAAAGAAAAGAGAGAAAGCCCAAATTAAAAAAATTATGAATGAAAAGGGAGAGATCACAACTAACACCAAGGAAGTAGAAACAATCATCAGAAGTTATCATCAACAGTTATATGCCAATAAGCTAAGCAACCTAGATGAAATGGATGCATTCCTGGAAAACTATAAACTCCCAAAATTGAACCAGGAAGAAATTGACAACCTGAATAGACCGATATCTAGTAACAAGACTGAAGCAGTGATCAAAAACCTCCCAAAAAACAAGAGCCCAGGACCTGACGGATTCCCTGGGGAATTCTACCAAACTTTCAAAGAAGAAATAACACCTATTCTCCTGAAGCTGTTTCAAAAAATTGAAGCAGAAGGAAAACTTCCAGACTCTTTTTATGAAGCCAGCATTACCCTGATCCCCAAACCAGGCAAAGACTCTACCAAAAAGGAGAATTTCAGACCAATATCACTGATGAATATGGATGCTAAGATTCTCAACAAGATCCTAGCAAACAGGATCCAACAGAACATTAAAAAGATTACCCACCATGACCAGGTAGGATTCGTCCCTGGGTTACAAGGATGGTTCAACATTCGCAAAACAATCAATGTGATAGAACAAATCAATAAGAGAAGAGAGAAGAGCCACATGGTCCTCTCAATTGATGCAGAAAAAGCGTTTGACAAAATCCAGCATCCGTTCCTGATTAAAACGCTTCAAAGTATAGGGATAGAGAAAACATTCCTGAACTTCATAAAATCTATCTATGAAAGACCCACAGCAAATATCATCCTCAATGGGAAAAAGCTTGCAGCCTTCCCATTGAGATCAGGAACATGACAAGGATGCCCACTCTCACCACTCTTGTTCAACATAGTATTAGAAGTCCTAGCAACAGCAATCAGACAACAACATCAGTCAACAACAGAACACTCATGAAAGAAATTGAAGAAGACAGAAAAAGATGGAAGATCATTCCATGCTCTTGGATTGGAAGAATAAACATTGCTAAAATGTCTATACTGCCTAGAGAAATCTATACTTTTAATGCCATTCCGATCAAAATTCCACTGGTATTTTTCAAAGAGCTGGAGCAAATAATCCTAAAATTTGTATGGAATCAGAAGAGACCCCGAATCGCTAAGGAAATTTGAAAAACAAAATAAAACTGGCAGCAGTAGATTTCAAGCTTTACTACAAAGCTGTGATCACCAAGACAGCATGGTACTGGAATAAAAACAGACACATAGACCAGTGGAACAGAGTAGAGAGCCCAGATATGGACCCTCAACTCTATGGTCAAATAATCTTTGACAAAACAGGAAAAAATACACAGTGGAAAAAAGATAGTCTCTTCAATAAATGGTGCTGGGAAAACCGGACAGCTATATGTAGAAGAATGAAACTCGACCATTCTCTTACACCATAGACAAAGATAAACTTGAAATGGATAAAAGACCTCAATGTGAGACGGGAATCCATCAGAATCCTAGAGGAGAACATAGGCAGTAACCTCTTCGATATCAGCTACAGCAACTTCTTTCAAGATATGTCTCCAAAGGCAAAGGAAACAAAAGCGAAAATGAAATTTTGGGACTTCATCAAGATCAAAAGCTTCTGCACAGCAAAGGAAACAGTCAACAAAACAAAGAGGCAACCCATGGAATGGGAGAAGATATTTACAAATGACAGTACAGACAAAAGACTGATATCCAGGATCTATAAAGAACTCCTCAAACTCAGCACACACAAAACAGACAATCATATCAAAAAATGGGCAGAAGATATGAACAGACACTTCTCCAGTGAAGACATACAAATGGCTATCAGACACATGAAAAAATGTTCATCATCACTAGCCATCAGGGAGATTCAAATTAAAACCACATTGAGATACCACCTTACACCAGTCAGAATGGCCAAAATTAGCACGACAGGAAACAACGTGTGTTG